GTACTTGTCATGGAATGGATAACCTGCTTTCGTAATTGGTAGGAGACTATTTAATTGTACTTGTCATGGAATGGATAAACTGCTTTCATAATTGGTAGGAGACTATTTAATTGTACTTGTCATGGAATGGATAACCTGCTTTCATAATTGGTAGGAGACTATTTAATTGTACTTGTCATGGAATGGATAACCTGCTTTCGTAATTGGAAGAAGACAGTTTTTGTGTTGTAATTGTTACCGGTTTGATTAAATTGTTAAATTGAAAAGAAGAAAGCAATATTTTAATTTTGTTTTTGTTTCTTTGCAGGTAGTGTGGAATTTCAAAAGGAACATTACTCTTGATAATAGATTCAGCTCAGAGGCAAGAAGAAAATGCCCTAAATTGTTGGCTGAAGTGAGTTTTAGTTGTACTGTATTTTCTTTTTGGTTTGTCAGGAAATTTGTTTGCTAGATGTAAAGTAAAGTATGATTATATTTCTTATAGTTCTAAATATCAGGTTTTGATACCTGTGGTGGGCACAGTACAGATAGCACTTAACAACAAACAAGCCCATAACCTAATAATATTTTTTACAAATCACAGATATAAAACTTCTTTGGATATGTAAAATCAACTTTCAATATGTTCAACGAAACACACCCCAAGTGCCTGAGGTTCATAACATATGACAGTCTTTTATAGTATTTGTTAAGTAGTTTTATAAATATCTTGTTTTTAAAATACCAAAGTATGAACAAACTCATGAGTAAATTGTACAAACACTGCAAAGGATTAAAAAAAATCAATTTTTTGCATGGTCATTTGTATTCAGTTATAGAAAATTATGATCAAATAGCCGGTTTATGGGCTTTACTGACCAGTATTTGACTATTCCAGTTAATACTAGCATTCGCTTACTCAGCTTGGATTGAATTTAAGAACTGTTTCATGTTCATATTGCTCACTTATTCAAGAAATGTGCCTTAAAACATTTATGTATTATAATGATGCCAAGTTTTTGTCTGTCCTGAAAATTCACATGCACCTTTTTTATCTAAATGCACATGTTCACACACTTCATTTAAACAAATGTAAAAAAAAAAAAGGCACACGTGATTATATACTTTAGTAGACATTTTGTACAACAACATATTTATGGATATACGTGAGTGTTTCATTTCCTTTTTAAGTTTAATGTGGATGTTATGACTTAGATTGTTTACATAGCATGAGTGTTAACCCTCTCCACATGGGTCGAAGGTCATGTCATCGCATTTGTTGACTCGCATTCAAAATTTTATTGAAATACTATTTTATGAATTTATGTCAATAAATTTGGTATCAAATTGTAGATTATAATTCAAATTTTAATATTATACATTATTTAATTTCTTAATATAAAAGCAAATATTAAAGAAACACACCTAAACATCAATTTTTTTGTGTCAAGTGGTATGTTGAATGCAGCACTGGTTCAAAGTTTATAGTTTCTTACAAATTAGGAATTCAAATTAATGATGTTGACAAGCTAGAATAAAAAATAAAAACCTCCTATCTTTTCTATTTGCTGAGATATCGCCTACGTACTGAATCACACACAGTGGCCCCACCCATCTCTTTCCATTTTTGAAAACACTTCCTTATACACACTTACTTCTGTCTATGACATGTGAATGTTCAATCGAAAGCTCAGAATGTCCCCCTAGTGGCTTTCTCAGCCATTTTGAAGTATTATGACCTTAACTCGTTTTTTCAATACAAGACTTCAAGCTGGTAAGTTGAGTCCTTAATCTGCTTCTGATTTCATATTTTTTCAGACCCAAATACATCTTAGTTACTAAGCTTGATAAGTTATAGTAGAATTCTATGGTATTGATATAGTAATTTATGATTTTTTAATTATTTCAAATGTATATATAAAATCTAAAAAAAATTATTTCGTTTCGCATCCTCCATGTATGAAATTTTATAAGGCTTAACAACCTATGTCAAGAAGCAAACGAGTACAAAGTTCATAACTAGAAGAGATAATTGTTTGTTGTACTTCTTTATTTATTATTCTATTTTTAAGAAAAATAAGTTTAAGAAGTTATTTGTAAATAATAATTTATATACATATATAATGTATTATACCTGAAATTTGACTGTATTTTACAAAATACTAGTCTACTAAAACACAGCAAAGACAGATCACTTTGTAAAGACTAAAGGTCAGTTTTATATTATTGGATATGGTAACATGAGTGCACCTGCACCATGTCAATGTAACTTTAGTAGTGTTAGCCAGGAACAGTTGAAAGATCAATATAATAAATACATATAAATGTATAATGTTATGACATTTAAGCTATTTAGACTAAACAATTGTGTTATAATTTAAATATAGGATTTCTAGAATGACTACAGAAGTACTATTACAATAAAGATACTAATTTGACCACAAATGTTTTTTGGATTTCTGCTAGTTTTATACAAGTATTTAACTTTTAAGTATTTTTACTCTTAATGTGCTTGTTTTTTCACTGTCTTGTTTTTACGTACTCTTCTTTATTTGTAAAGAATTAAAACTAATTGTATTTACAGAATCCACAGTGCCAGGAATTGAGTATGGTTAGAGGCCAGATGCTGTCTTGCCTTATAGATCATATTGATAATGCAACAGAAACAGAATGTCATCACTTTCTTAACAAAATGGAAATCATAATTTTTAGTGATTATCGGCTTATATACAAGTTCGCTGAGGCATGCGACAAGGATATCCAGAAGTTGAAATGTGGCCGACTGGAGTCTAATTCTGAAGTAAGCATGTTAATATATTGGACTCGTTTTTTAATTCACAAATTTCTTGTGTAGGATGTGCAAGTAAAGTAACACTGACGTAAAACAAAGTGTTTTCTAGAATTTGTTTCATCAGCTTCCAGCTATATTTTTTGTGTATTTATTGGAAATTGAATTTTTTAAATTTTTTTACAAAGATAGTTCTCAGTTTTATCTCTTCACTGACACTGCTGACTGTTGTAATTGCTGGTTTCTTCAGGTAACAAACAAAAATTTATCTCAGAATACTAAACAAAAGAAGTAAAGAAAGAAAACTTATTTAACAATGATGTTTTGAGCAACTGGTATTCATGTCTTTGTTATGTAAAGGAATAGTTTTCTTTCCTGGGTGTGGGTTTTTAAAAAGTTTCCTCCTTCGTGTGAGACAAGTTTTGCATGTCCTGTTCACTTCTATTTTACAAGTGCAATTTTAATTTTTAGAATGTTCAGTTTCACTTGGAACTATCTTGTTGAATAACTGGTTCATTCTTGATAGTATCGGGTAAAAATAACCTTGACAATGTTTAATATCTATTTTAGTTTTAAAATAACCTTAAGAAAACTTTTTTGTGTTTCTCCTTTTTATTTTTTTTTCAGTGATTGGCTGCAAGAATTAATATTTCCCATCAGTCGATTCCCCCCTCTGTAATGAAAGGGTTAAATATAAAACAAAATAAGCTTCTGTTATTTTACTTAATAAGTCGGCAGTTAACTTTGAAATGCCCAGGTGTATGTAGTACCCAAAACTTAATTATGTTAACACCAGAATAACAGAAATACCGAGGTGTATGTAGTACCCAAAACTTAATTATGTTAACACAAGAATAACAGAAATACGGAGGTGTATGTAGTACCCAAAATTTCAGTATGTTAACACCAGAATGCTGTATTAAACAGTCTAATTTCAAATACAAATATAGGTAGCGATGCTTAATAAGGTTGTTGATTAGTTTGGGAGGATACATTGTTTGTGAACAACTAGTTTGATTAACTAGTTCATTTGAAAAATAGTAACTGCTAATCTTCTGATAGACCTAATTGATGTATTGTTACGGTGTAAAGGATATATTTTTTAAATAATCCCTAGAATTAACATTGAACGTCTATATGAATTCTGTTAGTTTTGAACATAATTTTGAATTCTGTTAGTTTTTAAACATAATTTTCCAAACTATTTATGCACTAAATTACTTATGGGTTAATGACTTTTGATTACAAGGTCTCTAAAGAGTCACATAAAAACAAAATCCTGTCAGTATTTAAATGAAGCCTACTAATTACTGTTGGGTTAGAAAAATGAGTAATTTTGCTCATTTGTTTTATAACTTCTTTACACTTGAGGGAAAAATAAGTTCGCTCAATATGACAGTATATGTACTCCAGTGGTAGTGTATGATATGAAAACAAGCCAGGGTTAAACTTAGTTATCCAATCGGTAACTTTTTAAATTGAATCCTAGGCCATCCATTCTCAAGGAGAAACCATCGAGTGTTTGTCAAGAGAGACGGACAAATTGAGCACTGACTGCCAGCACGAAATCTATCGTATTGCCGAGCTACAAGCTGAAGACTTTCATCTCGACCGTCCTCTCTTCTTTGCTTGCCGTGAAGATCGTGAAAGATTCTGTGAAAAAGTAACATCTGGAGATGGACGTGTGTACCGTTGCCTGATGAGACATAAGACAGAAAGAGATATGTCAAAAGAGGTAAATGCGAGAACAGATATATATATATGTTTATGAATCCGTATACACGTCATCCAACAAAAGGAAATCCCAATGTAAAAAAAAAAAACTATATCGTGTATTTCAAAAAGGTGTGGGAAACTTGTGTTGTCAGTAACTTAAGTTTGCTCTATCAGGATAAGAAAAATATTTTTGAGTCTGTTTGTCCCATTGATGCAAATCTTTTTTTTTTTAAAGTAGAATTTGTATGAATTGAATGATTTTTTGTATTAATAGCCGTAAAAATGTATGCAAAAACCTTATTATTTATTGATCAAACGTTATATTTGATATTTTTGACCAAGTTTAATTTGTTTTACATTTATCAGTGTATTTATCTTAGTGATTTTCTTTTGGTACTTTTTTCTTGCCAACTGAAGAAATTACGTTAAAATAATACGTTAAAAATTCACTCTCAATCGCAAGAAACACAAAAAAATCCCAACTTTCTAATTACTTTGGAAGTGTTTTTTAAAATTACTGTTTAACCTTCATGTGTGGATTTACTACACCACCCCTTGAAAACTTGTGATGATTGTTAGTTTTTTTACGTTGTTTTGAAACCTAGTTTCTCCCCTTTTCAATGATTTTTTAAGAGTTGGTGTCTCCATGGCAATAAACTTTTCAAATTCACTCGTCCTTTAATGGGAAAGCAGAATTAAATTTTCTGCCAGAAAGTTTTATGAATTAAAATGGATTGAAAATTAGCATGCTTGTTTAAAGGGCAATTAGATAAACCTTAGTTAATTAAAAAACCTTGATTGAAACACCAGCATGTGTTATGTGTGACTGTTAGATTCATTTATTTGGAACATACAAATTAAAATGATTTCTAGTTCAATCTTTAAGGACTTGATTTTAATATCGTTTTTTTTGGTACGTCTTATCCAGCATTATGGTGTTTACTGTTAGTATATCATTGGTGAAATACTGATACTATAATATTGTGGTGTTTACTTACTGTGATCATTGGTGAAATACTGATACTATGACATTGTGGTGTTTACTGTTAGTATATCATTGGAGAAATACTGATATTATAACATTGTGGTGTTTACTGTTAGTATATCATTGGTGAAATACTGATACTATAATATTGTGGTGTTTACTGTAACAGTAAACACCACAATATTATAGTATCAGTATTTCACCAATGATATACTAACAGTAAACACCACAATCCAATGATATACTTGAAATACTGATACTATAACATTGTGGTGTTTACTGTCTGTGATCATTGGTGAACTACTGATACTATAACATTGTGGTGTTTACTGTTAGTATATCATTGGTGAAATACTGATACTATAATATTGTGGTGTTTACTGTCTGTGATCATTGGTGAACTACTGATACTATATTATTGTGGGGTTTACTGTTAGTATATCATTGGTGAAATACTGATACTATATTATTGTGGGGTTTACTGTTAGTATATCATTGGTGAAATACTGATACTATAATATTGTGGTGTTTACTGTTAGTATATCATTGGTGAAATACTGATACTATGACATTGTGGTGTTTACTGTTAGTATATCATTGGTGAAGTACTGATACTATGACATTGTGGTGTTTACTGTCAGTGATCATTAGGGCAATCCAAATCATAACACAGTGATGTTAATTACTGGTAAAGTGTGAATACTATGACATTATTTTGATAATTTCAGAAATATTAATACCATGATATGATTTTAACTGCTAATGATGATTAGAGAAATATCAATCCTGTGACAGTGTGGTGTTAACAGTAAGTGACAATTGATGTAACACTAATACTGTGAGCTATAGAATATTTCTCAAGTGACTTGAAAGTTTTCGTATTTCTTGCTTAACTGTAGGGTTTTATACCTCTCGGCATCTTTTGTAGTTACGCTACTTTCAAAGTTGGTAGTTTTCTCACTTAAGAAGGGAATTTGAGAGTATATTATAGTTCAGAAGTATTGTTACCTATGTTTGATTAAAAAACAAAACAACTCTTCAGACACCTCGTTGCTGATTCACATATTTTTCAGTTTTGATAATCAAAAGTTAATGAAGAAATATTAGTCACACGTGTTCTTAATCTGTTATAACCACATCTTTTATGAATTGGAGGAGAGAACCTGAAACTCTTACTTAACCTCCTTGTTCAGACTGTGAAATTAAAATATTTTTTATTCAGTAAACTTGAGAATGATAAAAAGGTACAAGAAATGATAACGGCTAAAATCTCCACTCTACTAAAACACATGAAAGAACATTAATTACGTTATCTAGTCCTTCAGATTGTTTAACCAATCAATTTGTGGTGTTTCATGCTTGATAAGAAATATTTCCAGATAAATTGAAAGTTTTTAATGAAGTAACAAGTGGTAGGATTTATGGACTCCATCTGGCGAGTAACTTTTGAATCAAATTTTAAAAATATAATAAGTTTGACTTTCAAATCAACAGCATCTCCTAATATGTTTAGTTCATAATACAAAAATGAAATGTGTCAAAAAGTATAGGGTAAGGATTACCAAGACAATAGAAGTTATTACAATAACTCCTGATATTTGACCAGTAAGCTCTTTGTCAATAATTGCTAGTTTTTCATTGTTTAAGTAATAAAATGATAATTTGAGTTTAAATAATAGTATTCTTACTCTATTGATCTATTGATTTTTTAGCCCCCCCCCCCTCAGTAGGAGTAGGTAGAAGTGTGCACGTCAAGAAATTTTGCAGTTTCATTAGAAATTTGATTAAACTATTTCATTCTCAATATATACAAATAAACTTGGCATCAAAAACAATTAATAAATCAAACTAATATTATATGAGCTTTAGTTTTTTCATTTCAAAAAGAAATGTTTAAATATGTTCTAAATCTCCCCCTTGCATGATATTTGTTCACTCTGACTTGCCTATTTTCTTTCCTTTTATCCCCCCTATATGATGTCCAGAGTTCAACATAAGTTACTAGTTATATTATAGATATTATTAAGGCATAGTCTAATTATTATAGTCTTCAATCTTTGTTTATGGAGACATAAGCCAGAAAATTGGACCCGTTGGCCAGACCCCACTATTACGTCTTCTTTTTCACAAATTACCAGTAATTCTCTAGTATTTGCTATTTTTATAACCATATAAAAACAGTTTTAATTTACTGAATGATGTATAATGCTGTCTTATTCCCAGTAGAGATTTTTAATTGTTTCACCTAGATTCAAAATTGTTTTTGCTGAGTTCAAATAGAAAAGCAGCTACGAGAATTAATTAGGACGTTATCTGCATTGTTATTTGTTGTTCTTAAGTGTATATTTGGAATAAATAAATAAAAATTAGTTACGAATGATATCGTTACAAGGAACTAGGGTTAAGATTCATCGGTGGGCTGAAAGCAGAAAAAACATGTGCCTAAACGTAAATATTAAATTTCATGTTTTTTTATTTATATTTTCTAATTTTTTGTTATGTAAAAATTAGAAACTTATTAGGTCAGATAATGGAAAAAAAAATTTTCACAAGGTGTACTGGTGAGTAGCTTGTGCATTACGTCATTCAATACTGTAACTTGAATTACGCATTTTGCATGTGATTTACAGTTTTTATTGCAGGATTATTAGTTTGACATGGTTCAAAAGAGCAATAAAATAAAATATAGTCAGATGTAAACTGTTACGAGTTTTATGCTGTTTTGGATATATAATTCTAATGTTCTGTTACAGTCATTCTAGAAAAAGGATAATGTAGATTTATTAAGCTGCTCAAATCGACCGAGCTTGTTTAGAATTAGGGTAGAGAAAATAACGGTTGGAATATAAGGTTTTATTAAAATAAACTTTTGACATTCATTTAGGAGGTTTTATAGGTTATGCAAATGAAATCTGAAAAGTGTAAAATGTATTTTTGATCTTAACATGAAAATTACTTTGCTCTCAGACTAATCAGAGTCCGAGTCAGACTGTGAAACCATGTATTCAAAACAAATCTTTAGTAAAAAATACTTAACTAAAAAAAATCTGATTTCTTGAGTATACAGAGGCGTGTAATGTTTACTAAAAGCTGGCCAAATTATATGAAAATACATTTACTGAATTAAAAGTTATATAGTATGTATACTTTCATTGTTACTTGATGGTTACAGGGTCCATCAAAATGAAAGCCTCTATAAAGAAAGTTAAAGTATTCAGTATGGCAAGACAGTGATAAACTCTCAAAGAACTTGGCTTAACTGGATACTTAGAATTAATTGTAGTGAATTGTCTTTTTTACATCTGTGGATACCTGTAATAAGTTTTTAATTCAAAACTATAATTAAGAGAATTAACTGGATACTTAGAATTAATTGTAGTGAATTGTCTTTTTTACATCTGTGGACACCTGTAATAAGTTTTTAATTCAAAACTATAATTAAGAGAAACGTTTCCCTGAGATGTGTGTCCAAGATCAAAATGTCACAAGTGATTAACTGTTTGAACATGCATTAGTCTTGTGTTTTATATGTCAGAGCTGGGGCATCAGGTTTGAATTCTTGTGATACCAAAAAAAAAGTCTTCCCAATACTTTAAGCCATGGGAGCATTATAAAAGTGACAGTCAACCCATTAGCATGGAAAGGTGCTGGTGACTGGCTACCTTCCCTTGTATCAGAAGTTCATAATTAGGGATGATGGCAGAAACTCTTAGTAGGTTTGTGATAAGATACAAATATATATTAAAGGTTGTGCGAGGAATTCATTCCTTATTAAACCTTATAATAACATTGTTTGTACATTTCCTGTACAACTGTAGTTCTTTAGCTACTAATAAACTTATTTTTCTGATCTTCTGACAAACAATGTCTGTAAAGGAGGAGTTATTTAACTATGTGACTTTTCCTTTGTGACGGAATAGTGCCGTAAAAAACTCTTTCAACGAGAAAAGATGATAGTGCACGACTACAAAGTCAGTAGGGGTCTAACAAAGGTGTGTCGAGAAGACATCAAAGCTTATCACTGTCGTGACAAAACATCCAACAGACGACCGTTTCGACTAGAACAAATTTTGTTATGTCTTGAAAACGTTCAGCATAAAGGTTAGTGTTATATAAGCTATTCTTTTTTTTGTCTTTAATGATATATAATTATCAGATATAATTTTGCTGAGCTTCAAACTGTAGTTTTCTTATTCTTACTAGTTCTTAAGTAATGAATTTTTATCTAGTTTGGACATTGTAAGACACCAATGAGAAAGTAATATTAAACAAAATGTTTAAAAGGAATTCATTTTAGTACTAATAAGTGATATTTCATAATATTTAGTATAATATATGCATTTACTGTTAGTCATGTTTACCTGTTTATTCAACAGGCCACTCTTAAGAAAATGGTATCAAATTTAAAAATTGAGATTGATTATTACATAATTCAGTATGATATTTTTCATCTTAGAAATAATATTTTTATCATCTATTATGTTTCTACTTCAGGTAACAAGTTTTGCATGATTTGTTTCCTGTTTTTTATTCTTTTTTTGCTTTGGATTGAACTTGGTGGACCAAATTTTGATTTCTGTCTGGTAACAGATGACTTACTGGAATTAATTAAAAAAATCATTTAACATTGTAATGCTGCTTTTGTTTAAGCTGAAAAAGTTTATTTATAAAGCTTTTGGTTTTAATTACAAGGTTATCCAGTTTCTCCAGAGTGCAAGGCTGAAATGATAGAGCACAGAAAGTCTCTCCTAGAGGATTATCGACTTACTCCTAATCTAGCATTAGTGTGTGAAGATGATATTGTAGAGTTTTGTGGGAAAAATTTTGAAATTGGAGGCAAGACTTTACACTGTCTGATGGATCACTCTCGCCGCAGTAGTCAAAAAGGGAGAAAAATCAGTGACCAGTGTCAGCGTGAGGTATTAAGTGTTTGTAATATAAAACTAGGAGGGTGAGCTGTGTAAAGTTAGTGCTATTATTGGTTTCTCTTTTTCTCACCCACCCCATTTTTTTCTAGGATAGAGTTTTTGATGCAGTGTTCTGTACTTCATATTGATGGGTTTAGCTCATGATTAAAATTAACATTGTTTTCTGTAGACAACAAAAGTTAGACGTTACTCTGATATAGCAATACTTTTCTGATGCACATGGCTCTTTCCAGCCTGCCCTGATGTAGTCTGACCCATATTCAGTCAATAGTTGTATCTAGTGGCAAATGTGTTTCTCTTTCGTTGCACATGCTGAAAGAATCTGATAAGATTATCTTAAATAATGATACTTCTTCCAAGTTGGGATCCACAACCATACCTTTTCAAAGATATTTTACCTTTCCTTGTAGACTGACTTGATACGACTGCACTTATGTGGCTCAAATAGCCACATGACACTTTCTGTGATTAGCATTTTCCATGTGCATAGTTCTACAAATATATGTAGGTCATAACAAATGTGGCCAGTCAGTGTGGAATAAATCACTTCACTGTGTACAAGGAACGTGACTGATTGTAATAAATCACTTCACTCGATACAAGGAACGTGACTGATTGTAATAAATCACTTCACTCGATACAAGGAACGTGACTGATTGTAATAAATCTCTTCACTCGATACAAGGAACGTGACTGATTGTAATAAATCTCTTCACTCGATACAAGGAACGTGACTGATTGTAATAAATCACTTCACTGTGTACAAGGAACATGACTGATTGTAATAAATCACTTCATTGTGTACAAGGAACATGACTGATTGTAATAAATCACTTCACTCAATACAAGGAACTTGACTGATTGTAATAAATCACTTCACTGTGTACAAGGAACGTGACTTATTGTAATAAATCACTTCACTGTGAACAAGGAACGTGACTTATTGTAATAAATCACTTCACTGTGAACAAGGAACGTGACTGATTGTAATAAATCACTTCACTCGATACAAGGAACGTGACTGATTGTAATAAAGCACTTCACTCGATACAAGGAACGTGACTGATTGTAATAAATCTCTTCACTCGATACAAACTAAATGTGATATATATGTTTTACTTCAGTTGTTTAAATGGTTACTGGGTCTTTGAACTGTGGCTGTTTGAATGATGACTAGATTGTTCTATGGATGTTTGAATGTGACTATGTTGTTCTACAGTTGTTTGAATGCAACTAGAATGTTTCACTATGACTGTTTGAAAGTGTCCAGATTGTTGCTATACAGCTGTTTGAAGGATGTTTTTTGTTGTACTACAGCTGTTTGAATCGTTGCTAGGATTTTTTACATTCTGTTTCATTGATAACTAGGTTGAAGCTCTCTTGAAAGCAGTGGACATTGGTGAGGACTGGAGACTTGATCCTATTCTTCGAGAGAACTGCAAGCCTGTTGTGGATTTGCTTTGTAAAGATATAAGACACGGAGACGGAAAGTAAATGGTTTTGATTTTTTTTTAACCAATAAATGTTATCATATATATATATCTAGTTTTTGTCATGTTGAAATCATAATCTACCACATTTTTTTCACTACCATGGTTTATAACCCGATAATACGTTCAAGCTCTACGTCCTTGACAGAATGTTATCATATATATATATCTAGTTTTTGTCATGTTGAAATCATAATCTACCACATTTTTTTCACTACCATGGTTTATAACCCGATAATACGTTCAAGCTCTACGTCCTTGACAGAATTTAAGATGTTTTTTCAGGAGCTCTTTGTTTTAGTAACACAGTGTGGAAGCCTAACGAGATCAGAAGTGCTCAAGCTCCCTTATCAGTTGTACAAAATGTCTCCAAGTTACAAATATTTCAGTCCATAAAAACTAAAATATCATAGATCATAATTTCAAGGTCGGTTACGTGTCACGTGCCTATTTTTCATAAACCTTGTTTTGTAAACAAGTTGCGTATAGAACATTTTTCAGGTTCTACACTCTGGTAAATAGTTATGTGTAGGTTATGAGTTTGCAGTTCGAAAAAAAAAAATGAATTATTCTGTATTCTGTACCTGTTTTAAGATGTTGTTGAGCCCCTGAAGGTATATATTGAAGGAAACTAACATTGATAAGACGTTACTTCATTCTTTAGTGTAACACATTTGATAAATCCATTCAGAAGATAGTCTAACTATCATTTCTCTGGGCCATTTGTGAATAACTTCATGAAACTGTGATCTCTGGTTTTTTCAGTGTCCTCTCTTGCCTCATGGATCACTTGGATGGAGCACACATGATCGATTCGTGCCGGACAACACTTCTTCAGATTCAGTATTTTTTAGCTAGGAACTTTGAGTGAGTGGTGCATGATTTTTATCTATAGATCTTGATTATTGTCTTCTATCATGATCTTCTGTTTTATGACTCTGTAAAATAAGTACTGTTAATGTTTTTTTAACTTCATTCACGTCAATTATGCAATGTAGCAGCATGTGTCTTTCCCTGTTATTTTTAGCTTGAATTTTATGAATTTCTAAACATAACCAGAACAATTTCTGTTAAGGAGTAATAAAAGAAAACTTTCATAGCTGTACATATTTCATAATCAGTTAATAAATGTTGGTTGTTTCTAATGAAATAATGTTAAGAACACTAAGCACAAACTGTATTGACAATTTCCCAGTTTCTCTCAACTGTTACATACACTTTTTTTATTTTTAGGAGGTTGTGTATTTATATGTAGACAAACTGTCTGAAAAGTTTGAGACTTAAACAGTGTTTCAGCACTCTTGTCTTAATTAGATCTAAGTGTAAGAAAATCATCTAAGTCTCAAACTTTCAAGTAAGTTTGCTGAAAACACTATAGTCACAAACTTTAC